TATTAAAGTTCATTGGCGCAATTTAATTGTACTTGGTTCGCTACATATTGCCGGCATAATTGGCTATTGCCAATTAATCAATGGTAAGTATATCAAATACAAAATAATCTAGTTAAAAATAATAACTTTATTGTAAAATACTTCAATTTATTATAGGCAGCGCAAAAATGAGCACGCTTATATTTAACTGGTTACTTAGCGTGCTCAGTTATTTTAGCATCGATTGCGGGGCGCATAGGCTATGGTCGCACCGGTCGTACAAAGCTAAATGGCAGCTCCGGGTGCTTTTGGCCGTGTTTCAGACACTTACCTTTCAGATGGATATCTACCACTGGGCCCGGGATCATAGGGTACACCACGTGTACTCGGAAACCGATGGCGACCCCCATAATGCCAAACGAGGCTTTTTCTTTGCACATGTAGGTTGGCTACTGTGTCATAGGCATCCCGATGTGACCAGGCTGGGCAAAAAGGTACGAGTTTTAACCAGGCTATCTAGTAATAATTTTTTATTATTTATGAATCTTTATAACTAATTTTATCGTGTATTTAAAAAGTAAATTATTATAATTAAATATTATCTATGAGAATATATTTTTACAATATTATATATTATAAATAGTTAGTATCCATCAGTTGCTTAAAGTAAAAACCTTATGATATAATAATAAAAATATATATTAATGTCGTTTGTAATCCTTAAAAATATAATATTGCTGGATATTTCCGACCTTATTGATGATCACATAGTAAAATACATTTTTTATCTAGCAAAATTTAGAAAATAATGTTTTGCAAATATATTTTTAAATTAATATACTTTTAAAGCAATATTAATTTTTCTTATTATAAATGTATTTATTTAATATCAATATTAATAGCTAGTAATTTATTACAATTGTTAGGTATCACAATTTTAAAATAATTTATTATTCGAGGACTATTATTACCAATAATAAATTAAAAACAATGAACTAGTACGAAATAATTTAATATAATTTTAAATGACACTTTATAAACTTTACAAATATAATATAGCTGGATATGTCGGACCTTATCGGTGATCCTATAGTAAAGTACCAACATAAATTCTACTACCCACTGTTAATACTTACCTGGCTCACCGTACCAATATCCGTACCGGTCTACTACTTCCATGAAACATGGCTAAATTCATTCCTGGTCAATTGTTTCCGATTTGCCATCACCCTACAAACCACATCCCTGGTCAACTCACTGGCCCATATTGGCCCTGGTGGTCGACCGTACGACAAACGCATTAACCCACGCGAGACTACCGCGGTCAGTTACCTGACATTTGGCGAGGGCTACCATAACTATCATCACGCCTTTCCGGGCGACTACTCGGCCTCGGAGTACGGCTGGAGTGACAACTGGAACCCGTCGACCGCCGTAATCGATATGTTCGCCCGCATTGGGTGGGCCTACGACCGGAAGGCTACCCCCGAGTCGGTGGTCAGGACTAGGATTGAACGGACAGGCGATTTGGCGGCTAAGAGTCCAAAGTTGACCATGGTCTACGTGTGGCTAGATATTGTAATGGGCATGTTTTATGTGACGTGGTTTGTGTGGTTGGCGGTTATTTTAAGATATTTTTGCGCTTGTTAAATGTTGGTTATCTGATTTTTTAAATTAACAAGTAAAGTAGTTGAAAGTGCTAAATTCTAGACGTATTTAATAATATGTTATTTTTATTTAATATTTAAAATAAACTGCTTAAACAATAAAAGTATAATACAATAACTAAAAATAATGTAAATTTTTAAAAATTTGACATTAGGCAATTAAAATTATATAGCACGTTAATTAATTAATTATTACATTAATTAGATAGTATGATGTATATTAATTAAAAAATATTTATAATATTTCCGTTAACTAGAAATCTAATCTATTTAACTAATAAAATGATTTGAGTATGTAATTAAAATAAACTATGTACTAATGAATAATAATTAATATAATTAAGGAAATATAGATTAATAATTCTTAATTTGTTAAGTTAATGTCATTTATAAATTAATTTTACATACAGACACTGTACAATACAAGTATTTAATAATTGTTTAAATATTTATTTTCCTTAATACGCAATTTACTGTATGAATAATTTAAACAACAATATTAAATAATTTTTAACTAATTTATAAAACAAATTAATTAATTATTTTGATAATTATTATTATTGTGATTACTAAAATTATCTTAGTGAACTTATAATTAGCAAGTAATTTTGGGCCACAATTAGCATATATTTAGCGAACTCGTGGCTATTCATAGGAAACAATTGCAAACAATAGTAACCGATTGGTGGTCCACCTGACAGCCTGTCCATAAATAACTCAACCCGTAATCGAGTAGATACTGATAATACCGGTTGTTTGGACAGGTATGTAAACAATATAGGGTATGGTTTATGAGCGGATGATACTATCCAGGTGCTCATTACGGTCATACAAAACGGTACTATAAACGCAAATATAACTAGTATGATAGCTAAAAATCTGACTAGGGCACTGGTACCCGGTTTAGTTAACAGATAAATTATAAACTCAATGCCTATAGTAGCTATAAAATAAATTGCACCTAGACAACATCGGAAAAAATAATTACAGTCACGTGTTTGCATAGCCTAATAATTATGTTCAGATATGCTGTTTATTAATTATCCGGGATTATTTTTATTAATATTTAAAGTGATTTTAGCTGATATTTCCGAGAATTAATGTTTAATATAGTAAACGGATGAGTAAAATAGCATCAAGCCCAACCAAATATACGCAAATATTTGTGTGCATGCCAAAAATGTCAATATAATAAATATGATCATCATGATAAAAGTGGTAACACTCGGAGTGCTAATATAAAATATCCATGATATGTATATATTGCTTAAAGTAATAC